TGCTCTGAAGTTGGCTTCGTTCGGGGATGAGTCGAGGAATTGCAGCGGAGTTGGATTCAGCTATGTGAAATGGATATGATAAACGGATAGGAACATGGTTGGATGAATTTAAGTGAGTTTTCGCGAAGTAGCTTGGGGAAGGAATTTTTCGAATTGCCGAAAGTCGTCGATGTGGCGAACCAATGTCACTGCTGGATTGCATGCCCCGGTTTGCAATGCTTTGCAGCCTGGTAGCAAAACGTTGTTCCTTCTTGCCGTTCATTTCATTGGATGTTGGGGAGCTTTCCTGCAAGGATCTCAACTCAACAGTGCAGTTAATGATTACTGTGTTTGAAAGCGTCGGATTGTTTCGATTGTGCCATGATGAAAATATGGCGCTCCCAACTACCGTTCGAGGAAATGTATGTCGACTTGTAAGAGGTGAGTGAATCGAATAATTGAATAGGATGATTTAGACTATCATAATGAAACGATGAATCCAAGTAATGAGCACACACCTGCACGTTGATCCTTAAAGGCATAGAGCCAAACGACCGTTTCATGGCAATTTGAGTTTGGGATTGTTTTTGATGAATATCCGACGACTTTTCGTACGGATTAATGTCAACTATTCCATCGGAACGAATATCTGGAAGTTTCATTATCCGTCAGATGTCAAATACGGTCCCAAATCGAGCCTCTTATGACAAACGCATTTGACATCTGCAGATCATCATTCAAAACTGAAAATCCATCTGAATGTGGGTCAATCCCACATAATAATCGAACCGCTATTATATGGAAAGATTGCGTGATGTGATGAATATTTCTACGAAAATAATGAGAAAACAAGATGTGCTGTCTGAAAAAAATATTCTCATTATTCGAATCATAAACATTTTAAAGATAGGAGCATTTATGCGGATTTTCGTACATACGGAGTTCTTTAGCACTGATCATACGAAATGAATCTGAATGAATTATCTTTCATCATCAACGATGACCTCTTCAATCGACTCCTATTGCTCTTTTACTCACTTCTCGTTCGGAAGGTCATATTTATAGTTGTAAAAATATATCCACAATTATTTACACTGACGATGCCTCACAAAAGGACAGTTTTCTATCGCTAAGATGGTCGTAAAAGTATTGCAACAGCAAAGAATTAGTTCAGTTGGAATTAGAAGGTAATAACCCTCCAATTATCGGAGCAGTTAAACCAGTGCATGCTTACCATTTAACTGTTCATTATTGTATTCATCGAAAGGTACATTATCATTGCTATTTAACTCAGACTCTTCGTTCTCCACTTCGTAATCCAGCTGAAAAAATCAGCGTTGGACTGGAAAAGCAACAACAGTACATTCACTATTGCGGCATGCTCACCTAACAGTTCTGAAGTGACTTGAAAACTATCATACAGTCTCTCCCCTGGTATTTCAATTCCGTTCGAACAACCCATTAGAATTTCTCGATGCTGCAATTCGGTGATTAAAGATTGTTGTCGTGAAACAAAATTCATCAAGGAATTACACTGATTCTCACAACCCAACAATACGTGATCAGAAATATGAAAGTCAGTCGAACGATAGAAATTTAATTGAAGTAATGAGTCGAACTGGATTATTGTTCTCCTCATCAGCATATTCTTCATTCACATTGATGACACCATCCATAAATCTGCCATGCTTGTTCGCCATTCTCTCTTCATCGCCGACGTAAATTTCATTTCTGTAAATGAAACGAAGTAAGTGAAAATGCNGTTGTTCATGAGCTCTGTTCATTCAACGGAATTTCACTGCCTTTATGCATGCACATATTCAGATTTGTCGTAGATGCCGATGACGGCGAGAAATGGATGCGTTTTTGCGTGTGCATCACATAGCATCGTGTACATTAACTAAACGTGAATTAATTTGAGAACCCAACGAAACAGGTTCGAGGTGAGTGAGTCCATCGTAAAATTTATCGTAAAGATTAATGATAGTGAAACTAATGAATTCCGTTCGAAATGACATTCAACTTGGAACCTTCTGTTCAGCCAATCTAAAAAAGTTCGTTCTTTTATAGATCTCGCATCACCGCTCATCGCTGTTCCACCTAAATCATTCTCGTCTTCATTGAAAGGTAGTAGTGTTTTCTTCTGCGGTTTCTGCCATGTTGAACCAGTTTTGGTATCCTCCATTGGAACGTATTCCTCCACACACTTAATCCTGAAGTGCAATGAAGTTGAAAGTTGTTTTTGTCATTCAAGCTCCATTTGATTGTGAAATGCACAACGAAAGGAATTCAGCATATCACAATTTCAAAATGCACGAATAATGGCTCTCAATACGATTGCTTATCGTCTTTTAAGGCTAACATCTTCAAGCCAACTATTCACCGCACTTTTTAACTCATCATTTAGTGGTCAACATTTCGACGGGAACAGCCACGAGAAATTGCAACGCAGTAAATATCAGAGGAATCATTTAATCACTCGATCATAACACCAGTCTGCGCCATATCGTCTTCATTCGTTGGTATGAAAATTGCTGAATAAATTTGTTACTGAACTGAATGGGTTCAGAATGACGATTGAAAGCAGAAAGCAATTAACCTTTTCACTCGGCCATTCTTGATCAAAGACTCGTCATTGCCCATTCTTTTCTCAATATCATTCAATTTCCTCTCATAAGCACTCAAAAAACGACTGCTCGCAATGATCGATTCAACTTGAGTCAAAACAAATGCAACTGCGATGATGAATCGGATCATTTCCTGAAAATTACTTCAAGCTTGTTAATCTAACCAAATGATCAATCACTTCCCTACACCGCACTTTTTAACTCATCATAAAGTGGTCAACATTTCGACGGGAACAGCCACGAGAAATTACAACGCAAATCGTCTGGAAGCGATAGCGCATATATGAAACTCCGTGCGCACTCGACATCACCTTTGGATGGTTACAACGTCAACTTTTAATCGGAACTCTCCAAGCGAACACAGTTTGTTGAGCATTTTCAACAGTGAATATACCTTACTTTACAATGAGACTGAAACGTTTTGGGTTGAGTTTATTGACGATGTCTGAGGTGTGCAGGCAGTTATGGTCAGTCGCTGTGTGTGAAACGAATGAGGTTAGGGATTAGGCACAATCAGAGACCATTTAAAGACGCAATTGTGACGTTTCAATGTAAAGTGACCCAAAATCGACTTACATGAATGAAAGAATTATTTTATCAACTTCACTCCAACCACTTCATCTCATCGTAATTAACTCCGTTCTTGTTGTATACTTCACTCGACAACCGATTCATTTTCTGCTTAATCATCATCTCCTCAAGAAAACGTTTATTGATGTGGCGTAAAACACCTACTGTTTGTTACTTCACTGAATGCGATATCCATTGAGAAGATCTCCACAGAGGAAATGTGACGCAGAATTCGAAAATGCAAGGTCGGAGTCAAGAATGCTGGCAGAATACTGCTGATTAACAATTCAACATAGAGACCTCACAATTGTTCAACAGTATTCCAAACCGCATATTTGACAAGCAAAGTGACTTTTCAAAAACAGCAAACTAATTCTGGTCCCCCAAGTGCGTTTGGTTTTGATCAGGATGTACACGAACTAGCCATTGTAGTCTTCGAATTCACCGGTTAAATAACAATAAATACGAATTAATACTACTGTTCGATTTGACGGGTTAAATTCTAACCATAATGATATGAATATGGCATT